GACTCAACAAACTTTTTTGAATCGATGAATTTTTTTAAAAATTGGGGAACAAATTTTAAAAATAAATTTTTTTGTGAACATTTTCTAAAATGTCATGGACATTTTTTTCAGATTTCTGAATATGTTTTGACTACACGCTAATTTTTTTCAAAATTATGAACATGATTTTATTTCTCGACCATTTTTCCAAATTGTGATTCTTTTATAATATTACAAACAATTTTGCAAAACCACCAACATTTTTTAAATCTGTAATTTTTTTATGATTTTCTAAATATTTTTGAATTCACATATATTGTATGATTTCTCAAACATTTTGTTTGAAAACTCGTAACTTTAGAATATTAGATCCCAAATTAATTTAAAGAAGAAAGAAAACAGAAAAGACAAAAAAGTAAAATGAGAAGAAACAGGAGAGTAAAGCCCCGCATATGGGCCGGCCCATGAATGCATAGATGGGTCATGCGTGAAAAAAGAACGATAAAATTGTAGAAACTGGGGATAGAACCCAAGTCTCATCGCTAAAGGAGCAATAGGACAACCACCCTGCCACTCATCGCTCATTGACTTTTACTCGACTCGCATCTATAAAACAGCGTAGGAGGCGGCGATTTTTGTCCGAAAAAACAAATCGTTTTTCACTTACGGATGGCATTGATGGGTAATTTTTATCAACTTGGAGAGTAATTTTAATGACAGACGACCAAAAGCGATAGCCACTTTATTAGTAGGTAAAGATATGCCTATGCGTTGCAACGGGCTAACAGAATGTATGATGCATAGGAATTAGGCGTGTAAATGTCATAGAGATAGAAGAACTTTCGACAATTCTCGAGCCTGAGCGTTCACCAGCCTGTCTTCCAACGCAATGTTTTCTCCTGTCTTCCAACCCAATGTTTTCTTGCCCGAAGAAATTGACTTGTCATTGTGCTTGTTCATCTATAATTAATTGTCCGTGTGTTGCAATGAGGTCATAAATATAGACAATATTGTCTATTTTGTGATTCTCCCCTGTATACGCGGTACATGGAACTACTCTCCCCCATTTTTGCATAATTATATATTTCAAAAGTGTTTGTGCATTGCAATGGCTCTAAAATAAATCATTGCGTTCTGGCAAACCTAAGAAGCAACTTTGTATACTTTATACCACTCAACTCTCTTTGGTTTCAAACTGTTTTTACTTTGAAACCATTTTGGGTTTCACCCCAATTTTAGTGTCATTACCTGTTCAAACATACAACTTTCTGATCTTTCTTTGTATGCATCGTTGATAGCCATAAGTATTAAAACATCGTAAATAAACTATTGACTTCCTAACAAAATCAATGAATATTTACATTTGGTAAATCACATGGGAAAGACAGCTAAATTAAATATTTGAATCATAAAAATTTCACTCGTCTATTTCAATAAATGAAGGTCTACAGTGTACCATTATAGGTTGCAACCTCATGCACTTAAAAGCATATCTTGTAAACACATCCAGTCATAATTACCTAGGCATCCCTATTGAAGCATCAGACCAGAACTGTCCTCATCTAGTTTCCTCCTTACAAATCATGTCTGTCGCTAGTATGCAAATCCAAGTGGCGATAAATTGTATGTCAGTTTCATTGATGCTGGTTGATCATGTTAGTTGCCCTGAAATTTGTTTCGTTCCCAGATCTCGGACTTAGTAGTGAAGTCATCCAGAATGCATCATAACAACCTAGCAGGACAAACCTCAGATGCCCGCAGAGTCATTAGAATTAACCCACCAGATCAAATCGCATATGCTTGCAGAGTCATTAGAATTAAATTATCATATGGATAGTTTGAGTTGTGTACCACACACGCTCGAATCAGAAAGTGAAGAAAATGTAAGTGGAACTTACAGATACCTTTAGTCACTGAAACTGAATTTGTGCTTAGATGAATGAACAAGTCAACATAGAAGGGAGATAGAACAAGGGCCTGAGCTATTATATGCTCTTCAAGTTTCTATCAGTGTCTTAGATGAATTCTACAATTCTTGAGAACAAACCGTCTGTTACTCTGTTTTTCATTACATCTATAGTCGTCGTTCTATCATAACAAATAGTTCCAACTCTGTTTAATTTAGCATGACGGAAGAAACACACATCTATACCTTTACGTTGTTGGCAAAATCACCACAAAAAAAGTTCAGTACATGATGATGCATAAAGGAAAATCAAACTGAAACTAATATTTTGTCGATAAAGTGTAATTATTGGTCTACTGACTGTAACTTTGTATACTTTTGCCTCTAACCTTCCTACTGAAGTCATAATCTTCAAGATCATTTACGTACTGAAACCTATACAAAGACTTGGATCATCAGACTTGAGGAAACTCATCTGGGTAGCTACAGTATAGCCGTACACACCTTCCATTATAAGGTCGTAGATTTATCCATGTCATGGTCTAACTAACAGGTGTGATAAACTCAAATGGCTGATGCTATCAAAAAAACTCAGACGGATCATCGATCCAAACATGACCGTACACTAACTCATGAAAAAGTTCTAGCTCTAACCCATGGTGTTCAATACACACCTGTATTACTGTATACAAAAATAGAACTGCAGGAAGCTAATACCTACACCTGGGAGACATGATATGCAGCAGGGGCATGGACGTGAAGCTCATCCAATCACTATATGTCCTCTTAATCGCTTGTGCTTTTTGCTATAGATATATATGTTCCTTTGTGCCTCTAAGATTCACATATCTTATTGGATCATTGTAAGAAAGAAACATAGAGTAGCTTTTTCTTGTAAGAAACAGAGAGTAGACCAGATTAACAACCAATAGAAATAAATATTGGATGCAACCACATTTAATTTTTAATACCTATAAATTCAACGGTGTGATAATGAATGAAACCAGACATTTAAGTATACCAACTGACACAGTGTGTTTTCTAAACATTCCAAATGGCATGAAACAACTAATTCAAGAACCGATGTCACATTACAAGCTATACCCACCCGTGGTCCAAATGACCTGAAATTATCCCAAATACTGCCACGTCGAGAACAGCCGATCATGCGATTTTTGTATCCTCTTAGGAACTTGCCCTTACTTTTAGAAAAAATAATTATGGATTTATCTATCTCTGTTCAGTTCAGTTCAGTAGAAAGGTCTGAGATCCCGCCACATTGTGAGCAATCTGGATGCAATGTAACAATAGTGTAGCAAAATTGGCAAGGCAAACAACAAAAGGACATGAGGGGCATCATAATAGGGTATTCATATTATGCTTGTCTTGAGTAAAGAGATTAAGGCAGCCATATGTGTAGCTGCGTAATATATAGAAAGCAATGAAATATTAACAATGACAATGAAGAGCTTCCGAATTAAGTAAAAGATTGCTCCCTTCTTGAATGTTTTTCAGAGAACTGACAGAGCAACAGGGCACTACTTAAGCCATCTAATAATTATAGAACCTAAAAGAAGCTATGCTCACTTCCTAATGATTTAAAATTGAACAGTTGTGCTTACAACAGCATAAGTAGGCTGACCTTAAGTACTTGGTGCAAACTATCCTCAGAAGCCATTCGTACACCACTTTTTTCCAAACCACGATGCTGGCAACAACTAAGATCAGGCAGTGTACTTGCTGCAGACCAGATCAAAGGGAGCACCAGAGCTGGTCACTGAATCTTCAGGGAGAGTAAAATTCAGCTGGTCCACATGGTTGGAGAAATAATCTTCAAACCTAAGTTGCACCATTGATAGAAACAGTGGTGAGTAACATGAAACCTAAGATTCAGAGAGATCTATGAAGCCATAGTCAAAGGAAAAAAAATTGGCTGCAATCTTTTTGTAAAGCAAGCAAGTCCAGTCATGTAAAATGAAGCAGATATACACAGCTCAATGATGCACTGTCCTGTATTAAGCTAATTGTAGAAACTTACTTAAGTCGGGCCAAGGTAATACAATCTTGGAACGTATCACCGTTGTCTCCATGAAGGCATTCAATAAGACGTTCAAGCTGATCCTAGCTTGCACATCACAAGCAGTTCTTGCTGCAGTTACATATGCGCGGATTTGACAGGGAATCATTAACTTCAGTAGAAGTTTTCTCAAGTAAATCCTCAAATTCATACATAGCACAGGTCAGGCAGTGGTGCAATTTAGTCAGTTGTGAAGTGGATTACCAAAAGAACATAAGGGAGAACATGTATAGCATTTCTAGAGCATGTGCTTCATGGTACAAACCTAGTTTTTTCAGATTGTTCATAGCCTCCTCAGCTAGACGATAAACACCTAATGAATGTTCAAAACGCATGTGGACGGCCTTGGGTACACCAGATGCGCAAGACCTAAAACAAAAACACGAGTTATACTATTATTCCACCGGAGTTTGATTACCCAAGAAAGAAGCTGACAGTTATGTTCATTTTAGAAGAAAAAAAATCAAGAACATCCAAATGTCCATCTAAATTTTAAGAAGATGACAATTGCCGTCACCGGATCAGCCGGGCGAAGGCACACGAGGACGTGATCATACTGGTTGAAGAGACACATGCTGGCAGTGTGGATCTCCTCTTGCACAACACATGCTCATTTTTCCGCCGCGTCGGTGGTTCAACACCGTGCTGACAACCACATCTCCTCCTCTTTCTCCCCATTCTCTAGGCTAATATAATCAATCATAATGTACAAAACATGAGCAGTACATAAATGAAGACTTTCACATAAAATTAGTGCCAGATGAAACACCAAAGGAACAAAAAACTGAATTAGTGAATTACCTCCTGTCTGTTGGGTCGATTGATCGAACAGTTTTCTTGCAGGTGGTTGTTGATCTCGAGAAGGCAATGGGCGTCGTAGCTGAGGGCTGCAATGGCATGGGGGAGGGCCCCAAGTAGTGCGGGGGTTAGGTCTGATCCGGGAGGAGATCCACCGGAGGTCGGCGTGGGACACTGTCGGACGACTTGAGTAGTTCACTCCTGGCCGTTCAGCATGTAACATTTTGATCTCTCTAAGCTTCAGTTTGGAAGGATCAGTGATAACAAAAACTGATTCCCACCATGCAGCTACAAAGTCAATATTGTAGTTCTGATTCGAAGGCCACACTATAACCGAGTCTTGCTGTATAATTCAGAAGAGGACAAGCAGTAGAACTTTGAATGTTACCTTCTCATAGAAAGCATTAATATTCTGATCAACAGACGACTGCTTGAGCTCAAATACTATGCTTTCTTGTCCTGCACATAAGCTTGCAACTTCAACTTGCCTTGTAGACACTATTATCAGGCTCCCTTTCTTATTGTTTGGGAAGCACCTCTTAACCCGATTCCACTCTTCAATGGTTGATAAGTCATTAAGCACAATCAGGAACTTCTTAGCATTGAAATATCCATTGAATTCCTCAGCTAACTCTTTCCCCATCTTTTTTGTTTCCAGCAGAATGTCAACTCCTTCGGATGCGTGAAGCTGCTCTACTAAACTTTGAATGAAGTCTTCTGGACTGAAAGGATGCATCAACCTCACCCATGCTCGGCACGGAAAATTGTTTTTGATCTCTGGATCCTTGTAAACTGCCCGGATGATCGATGTATGCCCAAGATCAGCACCTTTTCCGCCCACTGTAATCACCCTTAGGTCGGTGTCCTTCTTGTTTATCAGCTGGGCAAGATCCACCTTTGATTTTTCCTGCTTCGTTGCGTCCTGAATGCCAAGCATTGTTGTACCTGTGATCGTGCGTATCGATGGGTCAAATAAGAATCGAATAATCAATGTTGCTCGTACGTCCATTACTACATTTTAAAACAATCTCACAACAGAATATGAACTATAGATACTTAATTTATTTGGTCAGATAGATCATAGGGAACTTGGTGATTACTTTGCTTATTTCACCTACAGGAACATGATTTGTATCCATCTAATATCACATACATACATATATTTCTTCACGGTATTCACTTTCTATAAGAAATTTATGGATAATGAAAGAAAACGTCTCTCCAGGCATCAAGTGATGTACAGGACCACAAATTCATTCAATAATAACCGGATAAAAGAACGAAGCATAGCTACCTGCAATTCCTTGGTTCACGACGATTCACTACCCAATACGAATCGAGTTCACAAGGGGTTACTATACATCTTGTATTGGCACTCATTGTTTTCAGTTTGAAATACGTCAGTATACAACACATTTTCTGATGGCCACGAACAAGAGCCGAGGAGGGGGCGAACTCAGCTGAAGATAGAAAGGAGGAAGCTCCATGGGTGGTGCATCCCAAGCTGCAGCAAGGCAAGGTCGACCCCTCCTTCCTCAAGCATCCAATCCTTGCTCTGCACATCTACCATGGAGGATCAAACCAGACATTAGAGGGAGAAAGGGGGGAGAGATAGGGGAGAAGATGAACTCACCCCATGGCCAGCGGGCACAGGAGCAGCATCCTGGACACGGAGATGCCTGTGGGGGCGCGATGGGCGTCGGAGAGGATCCGCCGGAGGCGCCGGAGCCACGCCAGTGTGGAGGCGCCCGAAACCCTAGACATGGTGAGGGCTTAACGTCATCGCTGGTGGCCGGGAGCGGCGAATCCCGCTGGCGGAAAAGACCCAGCGGAGCGAGGCGAGCCCGGGCCGGTGCTGCGTGGTGTCGAAAGTCGCCGGAGAATGCCGGGATCGGCCGGCATCTGTGGCGGCGGAGATGTGTCCAGGGAGAGAGAGAGGGGTCGCGGGAGAGAGAGATGGATTGGTGGGGGATCCATTTGATCTGGGAGGGAAGCGGAGGAGAGGGGCAAAGGCTGCCGGCGGTGAGGTTCGGGGAGGGACGATGCGATGGGCGGCGGCCGGCGCGGGGCGGCGGGGAGGCTCGAGCGCGAGATCGCGCGTGGAGGCGCAGGGTGCGGTCGGAGGCGGCGGACACCGGCAAATTCAGGGTGTTTTTTGTAAAAACGAATTTATCAGATCCACTTAAAATAGGATTGCGGGTTAAATACCAAAAAGCATAGGTACTTTTTTGCAAAATCTCCGATGATTACAAAAACTAACTTCTTTTAGGATTTGTATTGTGTTTTCAGGGATTAGAAGTATATGAAAATAACTATATTAGATATGTATTGGCTGAGCAAGTAACAAAAAATAAGGGAAAGAGTTTAGTCCACATGTGTATGTTTATGCACAAAAATCTGGGAAAGTTCTTGTCATAACGCAGGCATAACAACATGAGTTTTGTACCAACATGCGTGTGTAATAACATTCAGAATGCATGAAAAAAATGAATAGCTACAACAGTTAGGCCACAAAATTCACTCAAACTGAATAAAGCTACATTCGAGAGCAAATAAAGTACTATCGAGCTCCTCAATTGACCTCTCCAATAGCTTGACTTCTTCATCCTTCTCTTTTCATCTGCTATCTGTAGGAGTACAAAAGAAGGGTTCTAAAGAAGAAAAACGGAAGTAGTATTAAGAGGAGAAAACATTAATCAAATAGGCAGATGAACACCTGACTGGCTGGCGTCCATAGCAATTACTTCCCTTTATTTTGCCACCGCCAAAGCATCTCTAGCTTTTCTCTCAGAGGGACACCTTGGTAGCTTTTCTCTCAGAGGGACACCTTGGAGTCACATTATTGCTTCTCTTCTGAGAGCTTGGAGAAGTTATTTTGCAAATTTGGAAGCAAGCCGTTCCTTTCATCGTCAAGTAAATTTCTCAGCTCAATCAACACTTCCTCCAATATTGGAGTGGAATTACTATTATGGGCTAACTACTATTTCATAGAGTAATCAATCCGTTCAATAGGACTGAGCTGAGGTGGCAAATCAATGTTCTCCACAGAAACTGGATTCGGTTTGCAGACAACACTTGCTGACTACTCCTCCAACACCTAAATCTTTTCTTTACTCTTTATAATTTAAGGATGTAAAAAATTAATAAATTTAAACTCACTGGATTGGATGGATGGAGTGTCTAGCTAGTAGGATTAAACAATTGGTCCTTTACTGGTTGATTAATTAGTGAATCAAACATTTTTCTGAATCTTTGTTTAAATGGATGTGCATGATTAATCAGTTAACACTCACAGTGAGGGAGGACATCATGATGGAGAGGGCGCAACCTACTTGACCAGCAAGCCCCACGCCTTCCGTAGCCTGGACGCATAGCTGGGCAAACACTACTGGCCCGTCGGCGCCCAGAGGATGGCGGTGCTCGTAGGATGGAGCAGCAGATGAGCGCGTCGTGGGGAGGCTGACAGAGCGCGTCGACGCCCTGGCTGGGCGCCCCCAGGCCCGCTGGATCAGGAGGCCGTCCTCCTCCTTTCTGCCGCTGTAATAGCCATTAAATTTGATTGTAGCATGATTGTTGCTTCACGAAACACCTTTCCAATCCCAGAAGACCGGCATTGCTCATGTCAGACCTGCACAAAGGTTATAGACGTCTCAGATTATATTGAATTCACTGCCTATTTAATTCTCAAAATTTTGTCTCAACAAATAGAAAAGGGAAGTAAGTATAGCAGGACAATTTCGAATTAATGGCACTTAAAACAAAGATACTCCACCCAAATGTAGTAATAAAATACCATGAAATCAATATGATTTGTCAGCTGGTTTGCTTGCCATGATTCTTTTCTTCTAATTCATGTACCTTGTCAAGTAGTGCATAACTGAACATGTACAAAACCCTGCGGTCTCCCAAGTTACTCAACGAATGACTAATCGATACAGACTGGAAACAAAATCAAGTTGAATGCTTTGTCCATTGGTTCTCAAATAGTGAAAGATCGACAGGAGTGACTGATAGACCTTGGGTGAAAATATGAAAAAAGAGGATCATACCAGTAGCTATTATCAAACATCATCTAGCTCTCCATGATTGCCCACAATGTGCATCATAGTTTTTTTCTGTTGACGACTTGAAGTACTAAAATTGTTGAAAGAATTCAAGATTAGTGTAGCCGAATTCACTTACAGATGCAAGAAATCTAGCTTGATGAAAGTGTGGACATAACATAAAAAATTTGAACTGGATATTTGAGTTAAATTTAATGAATATTTCATATAGAGGAGAGAATTTTAAGGATACAGAGTTATCTACCTGATGAGTAGCAGTAAGAACTACCGGTGACAAAGTTGAATGTCATCGAGGAAATAAACAGCTTCATGGCCAGACCACCACAGATTTCCTCGGGGCAGCCTCATATATAGAAACAACCACCTATATCTTTCAAATAACTGGAACACCTCCTGCTCTACTAAATCAACCATCAAGTCATAAAATCATGCACTCGGAATATCCATGCTAGGTTGCTGTTTGGTCATAAATTGGAAACTAAGATTGCAACTATGCCTCATGTAGCGGCTGGCACGCTCGCTCCCCGCGGGAGAAAACCACTTGGATGCACTGAGCATGCACGTAATGGCGCTGCATAGTCTGCATTGCTGCTAACTTAGGACTTGGAAACTCAGACCAATACTTGGAGAGATACACAAAGAGGAGCCCTTGATTGGGTCGTATCTGCTTGAGAAGTATATGCACAGGACAATCTGACCAACTTAGTCATGGGCCGCTCCAATGTACAAAGCAGAACACACAACTCTGTCTTCAATCTCACAATGTCGTGAACCTCGACGGACGGACATTGGTGATGCCATCGATGGCGGCGACGGTGTGGTGTACCGTTAACTGGTGAACGCCGCGCCAACCATTGTTTCCCGGAACACCTTCAACACTGCAGGACACCGGACAAAACGACCGAGGCGAAACAACAAACAGGTGTCGCGCACAAAGCCACGAACACATAACCAAACAGGCACTCACCATAGGCAAACTTCTTGACCTGCTTGGTGGTGCAGCTGATGATGCCTTGAGCTCTATAATGGTAGTGCATAAATGTAGAGACACAAATGTTAGGCATAAATTGGTTGGCCTTTCATCTATCAACAACTGATAAATTCAGGCCACTTGCAAGTTGTAAACATACAGGCAGAGGCGCATAAACTAGACTTCCGAGTTTCTTTTCTGCTTCTTCTTTGTAAGGCTAAACTCCATTTTCTAGATGAGCAAAGGATGTACAGGTTTTCAGCCACAGTTGATAATCCTTTAAACATGTTTTGTTTTACAGAACAGAAAAATGACCAAGATATCCTGGGAACTTGATGGTGTGTTTTGTTACTATAGAATAGTAGTACGAAAAAAGAAGGATCAAGATGTTTTCGTGATGAAGTCATACTTTCTGTTGCTGCACATAGAGCTCTAGTAGAGAATTGGCGTTGGCAACAAATCACATTGACATTATATCCTTCATCGGGTTTTTGTTTTGATCCTGCAATTCTTGCTCCTGCAGCTCACTTGGCCAGCCGTTAAATGAATAATAGTAACAGAGGGTGCATGCTATCTAGGGTCAGAATTAATTGAAGGTCCTGGTTCATCGTTAGTAAAGAATAGTAGCATAAGGAGTATGCTATTTAGGGTGAGGATTAGATGAAGTTCCTGATTCATCATTACTTTACTTTTGAGGTCAAACTCGAAATACCTCATCAAGTAATAATATATTTTTGCAAAAATATATGGCTTTTGGATAAGGCAGGCACAACCACTGGCATCTCCGTCATATATCTCTTAACCTAACTATAGAAAAATGTCTTTAAAAGTTCTCATACATCCTAAGTCCTAACTGCAGTGGGTACATCACTATTTAGATGCTCTGAAGTAAGGAGGTGTTCA